TTCCAACTATCTTCTTCTCTGTTCCCAACTTTTGCATTCCAGTCATCCATTATTATCAATGCATCTTGATTGCATGTTCGATCAATCTCCAACTGTAAAAGTTGGTAAAAATCTTCTATTTCCTCTTCCTTGGCTCTGGTTGTTGGTGCATATATCTGAATGATAGTGGTATTCACTGGACTTCCTTGCATGTGTAGAGATATTATCCTATCACTCACAATATTGTACTTCAAGATGGATCTAGAAATGACTTTCTTAACTAGAAAGCAACTCCATTTTTCCTAGTATTTTCATTTCCAGAGTAATATATCATATGATCATCTGATTCAAAATGCCCCATGTCAGTCCATCTCATCTCACCAATGCCTAGTATGTTAATATTTGTGCATTCCATTTCTTCCCTAACAATATCTAATTTTCCTACATTCATGGTTCTCACATTCCATGTTCCAATCACTAGAGTCTGCTTACAACTAACTGTTCCTCTTCTTTTCTATTTCCATACTTGAAAGCTCAACTTCGGTTGCCCTTTCTGGTATTCTATATGTGTTCTGTTGGCATCAGTAGCCTGTCGTCAGGTAGATGTAGGATACCAGGCACCCAGACCATTCATTGCCCAGTCTAGTGTAAAGTCATTCCACTGATCCATGGACATGTATAAAAAGGAAAGAGGGACTCACATCTTCCCTATTAACCAGCTCCTACTATAGTCACTATTACAATTCTAGGTCCCTGCAAGATGCCTGAAGATGACCCTCAGAAAAAATCAAAATGGATGCAAGGTGAACTAGTGGACCTTCATGTTTATCTGTTTCATCTGACACCTCAATGGTGTTTTTATTCAGCTTCTTTCTTCAGTTGGTGTTTGAATGTGCTCTTTATAATTTCCTTTGTATCTCAGGATTACAGGATTATCATCAACCATATTTGCTAATTTTTATTTCTGCTGTCTTCATTGAATAGAGACTAGTCTCCCAGTATAAACAATCAGATATTACACTGAAAGTCAGTCTTTATTTCCTAGTGTTTTTAAACAGTTGGTGGTTTTTATATTTATTTCTTGGTTTTATCATTTGCCTCTTTAATTCATTTAATCTTTTTCTAAAGTTTTAGTTGCTAAGTTTTTTAAAAACAACCTTCAACATTTAAAATATTTAATATTTTAAATAGTAATTTTAAATGTGAAAGATTGTTTGACTATGCAAAGGCGTTTGATTGTGTGGATCATAACAAACTGTGCCTGACTCTGAGAAGAATGGGAATCCAGAACACTTGATCATTCTAATGTGAAACCTATACTTGGACTAGGATGCAGTCGTTAGAACAGAGCAAGGAACACAGCATGGTTCAAAATTGGGAAGGGCGTACACCAGGGATGCATCCTATCTCCATACATTTTCAACCTGTATGCAGAACAGATTATCCGGGAGGCTGGGCTCTATCAGGAGAAATGTGGGGTCAAGACTGGTGGAAGATCTATTAACAATCTGCGTTATGCAGATGACACAACCCTGCTTGCTGAAACTGAGGAGGACCTGAAGCACCTGCTGCAGAGGGTCAAGGATTGCAGCCTCCAGTATGGATTGAGGCTCAATGTCAAGAAGACAAAGATTCTCACCACTGGACCAATTGGCACCATCAGGATGGATGGTGAAGAGATTGAGATTGTACACCGCTTTAGTTTGCTCCACAGTCAACACTCCTGGCACCAGTAGCCAGGAAATTAAAAGGCACATTTTCATGGGAAAGTCTGCTGTTAGGGACCTCTCCAAAGTACTGAAGGGCAATGGTGTCTCTCTGGAGACTAAGGTGCATCTGATACAGGCCATGGTCTTCACAATCACTTGTTATGCATCAGAGAGTTGGACAATGACCAAGGAGGATAGAAGGAGAATTGATGCCTTTGAGCTGTGGTGCTGGAGAAGAGTATTGAGAGAGTACCATGAACTGCCAGGAAAACAGATTCATCCTGGAAAGGGTTAAACTGGGCGGCTCCTTGGAGGCAAGAATTCTGAGGCTCTGTCTAACATACTTTGGACATGTTGTGAGGAGAGACCACTCCTTGGAGAAGGACATCATGCTTGGGAGGGTGGAGGGACAGCGCAGGAGGGGATGGCCCTCTATGATGTGGACTGATTCAGTGACTGGGAGAAATTGCGATGGGAGTGTCAGACACAGTGCGATTGGCACAGGACAGTGCAGTTTAGGGCTGTTGAACATAGGGTCGCTATGAGTCGCAAGCGACTTGACGGCACATAACAACAACAACATTTAAAATATTGTGAAATTTGAATAATTGCCAGTGCCAAAGTAGAAAATGGAATAGATTATATAAAATAATGGAAAAGCTCCAAGTTCCACAAATGTAGTGATTTACATGTGAACACACATAAATAAATATTCAAGCAGCCTATGCTAAAACAGATGCCCTCCAAATTCAGATCCAAAAACTAGAATACAATCAGACAAACTGTGTGATTCAGAGTCAGCATGAAACACAGAAACTTCCTATAACTACATAAGGGTTAAAAAATTTCAAAGTTCACAAACTAAACAATGTCTATGGATTAGGAGAGTTTAAAAAGTAGAGAAACAGAATGAAGCCTTCAAATATCATTTAGCAACAACAGAATAGTTAAGAATAAACTTATGAGGATATTTTTTTATGAAATACTTACCTTTGTCATTTCTCAAATGACAATATTTTCAATAATATTTTCCAAAACAAACACTTTTCATACCAAATATAAAAAGTAACAAGACTAAAAGAAAAAAATCTCAACATTTGCTTTCTTAAAAGTGAGGGGTTTGGGTTTTTTTTCTTTCACTGACAACTGAGTATTAGAATTTCACAGAATTTCAAGCAGAAAACTAATTTTGTGGCAATTTTAAACACTAAGATCCAGTTTTAAAAATAATTTAGATCCATTCTATGCACCTTACTGGGCCAAAATTTGCATATGGGGGGTGAGGATCAAAATCAAACCCCCAGCTGACAAGTTCATTCTGAGCCACAGCATCTCTGTAGTTCAATTCTCACAATAACAGCAACCCAACATCTGTAACTATATATAATCAAAATAATCAATAATCATGCAGAATGAGTATAATAAATGAGAAAGAGGAAATGGAGACCACGAGCATCAAGCTTAAACTAAAACATAATGGTAATTTTACTCCAAACCAGTCAAAGTATAAAATGATTTACCAATAATAACCAAATGCTGATGCTGAAATAAAAGCCTAAAATCTGCAGAACTTAGAGAAGAGTATGAAGAAACTTTGAAGATGGTGAACACGTTCTTTAGCTTCAAAGCAGTGATAGTTTCATGGGTATTATACATATACACTAAAACTTACCAAACTGTACATTTTACATGTAACTTATTTTTATTCAATTACAGCTAAATAACATTTTAAAGTATCAGCAACATGAAAAATACTACGCAGTTTTATCCTGTACTTTGCTACTTGGAAAAGAAAAGAGAGCCAATTAACTGACTATAAATCAAGTGTAAATAGTAAGCCATGGATAACAGTGCATAGAACTGTCATCCAAGTAAAATAGAAGTAGCACATCAGCAATGTCAAGAGACAAGGTCTCAATAAAACAGCCTGAGACTGGTCATAATCCTGCCCAGCTGAGTGTAGAAAGCTCTGGTTTCCATTTCCACAGAGGTATGTGATGATGACACAGTTTACGGGGATTGGCAGCCTTACTGTACTTCTCTTCCTTGCACCTCTGCAGAATCTCTAAGCTCCTCTGGTGGACTGGGTGTTGTAGAAAGCTAAAACTATCCATACTTTTCAAAATTGCACATGGCGTTGTATCATCATGTCCTTAGGAAGGAAAAGAAAAACAACAAAAAAATGGAGAAGAAAAGACATTATATAAGCCCAAACCAACAGAGAATCAAGGACAATGCTGCCAACTAAGGAGTATATAAAAATGTATGGCACACTTAAATATTAATCATTTTTCCAATTAATGGAGAGAAATTACACAAAAATAATGGTGGGGGAAAATAATTTTCAAATACTCCCCTGGAGGTATTCAAAGTCTCCTCTTAATTATTCAAAGTGCTATGAGTTAAAAATCATACTAAAAATTCCTAAATTAAAATAAAGTTAGAAAATGATAAGATTTATTTTTAATATATTCAAATTAACTGGTTACAAATAAAATTTGCATATAGTTGGCATCACTGTAAAGAATACTGATAGAACCCAAAGAGAAATATACCCGAAACAATTTACCAAGGGCTAAACAATTTTCACAAATTATACAGTTAAACACACTTGCAAGAATTTTAGCAAATGAGTTGTCAAGTGTGAAGAGTACTAAAGATCAGGGAAAATTAGCAATAGTTCTTATCTGTAAATCTGAAAATGAGGCAGGCTGTGTGTGTAGCTCATCACCAATTCTTAGCATTGTGGGCAGAAATCAGTGGGGAAGGAAAGACAGCACTTCAAAGCCCCAGATTAATGTTATTTATGTAGCAATTTGAATAATCAAGAAGAAAAGGAGGAAAGAAGTTTGAGTACAATAAATAATAGCAACAAAAGAGAATAGAGATTTTTCCAGGCTTTAGGAAAGTTATGGATCATTTACTTAGAAAGCCTATCTAGATTTAAAGCATAAAGTTCCAATTTAAAGATACTATCTTCAAAACCAAAAATTAACAGTTTAATGACAGATATTAAATAAAACATAAACCATCATTAACTAAAGACCTTAGAGTTTATTACATTGGGAATGAGATTGCAAGGAAATACTCTTATTACAGAACTCAAGGTAAAATTACTTTTCATCATTTCTATTATCTAACACTCCAGGTAGCCCTGATGGCTTAGTGGTAAAGAGTTCCACTATCACCCCAAAGGCATACAGTTCGACTTCACCAGTTGCTCTCTGTAGGAAAAAGATGGGAAATCTTTTCCCGAGCAATTTATTGACCCCGAAAACCTGCTGAACTGTCAGCTATGGGTCAGTTCCCACTTGACAATACATAACAGTTATTTTTTATTACTGAAGAGCATTACACAAAATGAACATTTCACAATTTGGCTATCCAGTGAAGTGTAGCGGGGTGTTCTAGCTGGATTAAACCAATATGAATATTTTATATGTGCCTGTGTTTATCAGATTAGATATAATATATGCTTGACATAATACAATGGTTTAAAATATACAAATTCAATGGTTTTTAGTATATTCACAGAGTTTTGAAAAATCACCACCATCAATTTTAGAGCATTTTCATCATACCAAAAGGAAATCTGTACTCTTTAACTATCATCAACTGTGATGCTAAATTTTATGGGTCACCCTTGTCACTGACTCTAGTCTACATATTACTATAAGCGTATTAGGTGTCTGTGATTAACATTTACAAATATTAACCATCTAATCAACTAAACTTCTTAAGTACAAAAACTGAAGTTCTGTTTCTGTCTCAACATTAATAATAGAATTCTACATGAGTTCTCAGCTACCCTACCACCAGCCCTTTAGATTTCAGACTCATAACTATAATATCAATTCTTTGCTGTTTCTGAGCACAGATTTCAGAATTTCCAATGTATATGTCTGCCTACCTCTGCTGTCTCCTCCCTACTTCTCTACATATGAATAATTTGTCTGGAGAAACCTACGCACTCCTTAACCTCCCCAACCTCTTCACCCCAAGAGAATACTACTTTCTTTCTATTTGCCATATAGTCAAATCTAGCTCATAAGACAGTAGAATTGGCACACACTAAGGATGTAAATCACTACAGAAACAAACTAAGACATCTTTCTCTCATGAAGAAGATGGTGGATTCAAATGGTTAACATCTAGGTGGTGGTGGTGGTAGTGATGTGCTGTTAAGCCTCCTGTGACACAGAGACCCTGTGTACAATAGCTCTCAAGCCTGCCCTATCTTGAGTCTGTTTCACTGTCTCCAACACACCTACCACCATGGTTCCAGTTACTGTATCAATCTATCTCATCTGTTGTCTTTCTCTCCTGCACTGCTCATCCACCCTTCCAGGCATGATGTCTTTCTCTAAGGACCAGTCCCTCCTGGCCACGTGCCCAAAGTATGTGAGAAACAGCTTCAAAATCCTTGCCTTCAAGGTGAAACTTGGTTTCACGCTCTCCGAGACAGTCAAATTATTAACCACTGCATTACCAGAGTCTGTTTGTCCCTGGTAATGCTTAGTCTGGATATTTCAGTGTGATACAATATTTGGCCTTTCCAGACTTTCTTCATACTTTCAAGGTTCAAACGTGTATGTACCAATACTTCGTTCTTTTTTATAGCTGAATTATCTTCCCTTCGTATCTTGATGGATTTATTATGGAGTTATTTCTACTTACCAGTTATTATGAATAATGTTAGGAATGTTTATTTACAAGTCTGAATGAGTTTTCACTTCTCTTGGGTATATATTCAGGAATAGAACTGCTACATAATATGTCAATTCTATTATTAATATTTTGAGGAATTTCCAAATTATTTTTCAAGGGTAAGTGCACCATTTTACATTCCCATCAGCAATGCATGAAGCTCTCAAATTTTCTACATAACCATCAACATTTATTATTTTCTGCCTTTATATTAAAGTCACTAATAAAGTAGTATCTCATTGTGGTTTTTTAAAATTTGCAAATGATAACTAATAAAGTTGAGCATCTTTTAATACCTTTATTGTTCATTTTTACATATTACTTGGAGAAATGTATATTCACATTATTTTTGCTTTTTAATTGGTTTGCTTGTCTTTACACTGTTGAGCTGTAGGATGTCTACATATACACTGAATAATAGTTCTCATGTATCTACAACAATGAATGAATGGAAATCCAAAGCCTCTGTAAATTTTCACTAAAATTAATAACAAATTTAAATTTATAAAAAAAGAATTAAGTTAGAGTAAGGATGGCAATGGATTTATAACTGCTCAAGCTAATAACACTATACTGTGGCATGGAGGAGGAATAGTAGAAATGTATCCACATTTACAACATTCCTCTTACCAAAACCATTTATGGAAAATAGGTACTGCATTGGAACATGTATCTCTGGATTGGAAATGAT